TTTGTCGCTCAACTATTCTATATATATATATATATATATATATATATAGGTATTATTTTAATTGCTGTCCTTTGTGTCTCTGGAATTAATTTACTTAACTCCTGCATTCTAGAAGAGAAAATTTGGTAACTCTAGTGTAGTTTGTCACGCCAAATAATTAGACAGCCATAATTATAATTGCGGCGACACCTTTAATTGCACGCGAATCCAGGCAGTTGCGTTTTACAGATTGCGGCATACCGGTCGTCTCGAAACAAATCGCCCAGAGGAGGATCGTCGGCGGCGACGACGCCGGCTTTGGCAGTTTCCCGTGGCAGGTCAGACACGACGATAACGCGAAATATCTCAGTTCGAATTTCCAAACCTATTGTTTAAAATCGTTTCTCGCTTCGACAGGCTTACATACGAATCGGATCGAGCAGATGCGGTGGCACTTTGGTCAACCGATTTCACGTCGTCACCGCTGGACATTGCGTTGCGAAGTGAGTGCGGAATAATCCATTTGCTTGTTTTACACGTACATACATACACAATTCATTAATTATCAAATTTTAAATAGAAATTGATATTAATTGAAATAAATAAAAATAAATAAGTAAATAAATTAGTAGATAATAAATTCTAAAAAAAATAAAAAAATAAATAAAAAGAGTAAAAGTAATAAGTAAAAGTAAGTTATAGTACAGCAGTAATAAGTTATAAACAATAAGTTAAATAATAAATTTTTTTTATGTCAGAGCGACGGCGCGACAAGTTCAGGTTACCCTCGGCGATTACGTGGTCAATTCTGCGAGCGAATCTCTGCCAGCTTACACGTTTGGAGTTCGAGAGATCAGAGTGCACCCTTATTTCAAATTTACACCGCAGGCGGATAGGTGTGTGTTTCGCATATAATATTACTGATTAGTATTTTATCAAAATCCGCCATATAAAACATGTGAATGCTAGACAGAGTTGTGATAAACAAACTGAGGCCTATTGATCTCATGTCACTCACCCATCATATTACTTGTCAGGTTTGACGTGGCTGTGCTTCGATTGGACCGACCAGTCCATTACATGCCCCATATAGCTCCCATATGCCTACCAGAGAAAAACGAAGATTTCTTGGGACAATACGGTTGGGCTGCGGGATGGGGCGCTTTGCAAGCAGGTAGCGTTTTATTTATTTTTAAAAAAATTATGTTTTATATTTTTATCCAACGATATATTTTTTTTGCACTTTTTATCTCTAGCCTTATAAATTGAAATTTTTTTAAATTAATGTAATTACTGAAATACAATTTTTTGCACCATTAGAAATGAAATGTTTAACTTCTATTGTAACTTGCGAATTGAAATCTTGTTACTTGTTCTCGACAATTTATCTCGTTATTTAAATTAGTTTATTAGGAATGAAGGTTTCTTGAATTTACTTAATAAAGCAAGATTCTTGTCTGAACATTTATAGCTGTGAATCTTCCTATTGTCTGATTGACACACCGATCTAAAAAATAATATATATATATATATATATATATATACTTATTTGAGTTATTTTAATTAGGTTCCAGGTTGCGACCCAAGACGCTGCAAGCGGTAGACGTGCCCGTGATCGATAATCGCCTATGCGAGCGATGGCATCGATCGAATGGCATTAACGTTGTCATTTATGACGAGATGATGTGCGCCGGTTACCGCGGCGGCGGTAAGGATTCGTGTCAGGTAAGCGATTTCATCATCATGGGTGTGTAGTATTGAACGATGAATCGTCGTTCCGTTTTCTTCTTCTTCTCCTCCTCCTCCTCCTCCTCCTCCTCCTCCTCCCGTTTCTTTCCCCCGTACATTTCCTCCAAAATACGATAGTCATCTGATTCTCAGGGTGACAGCGGAGGTCCGCTAATGTTGGAGAAAACTGGTCGGTGGTACCTCATCGGCATCGTTTCCGCCGGTTATTCCTGCGCGCAGCCCGGTCAACCGGGAATCTATCATCGCGTGGCCAAGACCGTCGATTGGATCACGTACGTCATAAACTCGTAGCGTGTCCTCGACCGCGGGAGAATTAGCCCTCGGGGGAGCTCTGAGAACGCCTGAGCCGCGAATTTTGCATGACACAAAGTTCGGGCGGTTCTTCGTGCCGAGAGTGATAGAAATCCAGGAAGCCACGCGTCGCGTTTTCCAGAGACCAACGTGACGCGGGGATAGAAAGCGATTAACGAGAGGACTAATTTAAATCGAAGTTTCTCGAAGTTCGAAGAACGCGGATTATAACAACTAAAACAAAATTATTAGCCATTTTATCGAGATGCAAAAATAATTTTAGAATGAAATCGTAACGTATCGTAACGTGTCGTGTTGTGTAATATCGCGCAATTCCGCGTTTCTACCAATATTGTTGCAAAAGCGAAACAAAGGACCGACGGTCCCTTTTAAATATAATACGATATTATATATATATATAGGTATCTCTACTGACACAGGCGGGTGGCGCAAGTGTGTTGTAACTGTAACGATGTGTAACGAATGCGTTGTAAATTATGCGTGTATGATATACATATGAATTTGCGTTTAATAAATACTCTGTTTTTGATTTCATTATTGGCTGATTAATTATTTTTTTCCTTTTGGTTCCTCTTAATCGTAGCGGTACATTGCGTGTTTCTGTTAATTAATATACTGATATATATTTTAATGCACTATTCCACATATTAATTATATAAGATTATAATTATGACTAGAGAGAGACTATGCTATAGCAAAATAATACATATATTATTAAATTAATCTGAATTTTTATATTTGTTGTTTCATTTTTATCTTTTTGATTATATATAACAAAAAAAAACAACGATGAAATGAATAAACAGCGTCTACATTAAAAACATATTTTATTTGACAACCGCTACTTTTCAACACGAACTATAGCGTCGCGAGTAAACCAACGCGATTAAGTACCTATTTCCGTTGCGCATAATTCGTAAGTACACAGTACATTTTTTTTTATTTTGACGTAAATATTTAACAATAGATAATTGGCTCCGAATGGCGATTAATATCTAATCTATCGCTTATCGATTAAGCCTATTTTATAACATCGCATAATATTTAAGATAATTCCATCGCTAAATGTAATATGCCTAAATAGGTATTTTTTTTTTCGATAGCCACCAAACCCTTTGCAACATCACCTTTAATTTAATTAGTCAAATTGTTGGAATGACTTTTCCGAGATGAATGTTTAACAACAACAATAACGAATCAATTTCTATCATTATTCGTAATTACTTTCCAAATCTCATCATTCCGTAAAATGCAACGCGCATATACACGTGTTTTAAATTATTTATATACAATCATGTTACATAAATAAATACAAATAAAACTCGAGGATATAAAAATGCATTGGGAAAATGAGGTGCTCGGGGAATAGCGGCCAGGTGGTTAATGTTAATTTCCGTCCCAGCTAAACGTATTTTGAAGAATTAAGTCAGTTTTAGGTTGGCCTAAGTATTTGTTTGAATCGCAATGAAAAAAAGACATTATCACGCTGAGTTGCTCTCGAAGTTTCCACTTTGCTCTAAGAGTCGATGAACGTTACCATTTACGTCTCCAAAAGACAATACACTGCGCTCCAGCGCGATCTTCTTTGCGCAATAATATACAATATATATATTTTATTTTACATTTTCTTGGTTTTAAATAACAGTAATACTTTTTCAAAGAAGGTCGAGAAAGGAGGAATGAGAGAAAAGAGGAACGGGAGAAGGAGGGTGGGTCAAAAGGGACCCTGGCCTGAGTCGATAAATATAAATAAACCGAAGTTGGAGAACACGTTTTACGATTGGGAAATTAAATAATAATTATAAATTACATATATATATATGCAATAAAGTACATATTAAATATTAATTATTTTTAAGCGCGAAGAGCTGCTCTACGAAAGAGTAATGAAATAATCAAGTCTACTTTAAATAACTAGAGATCGCAAGTAATGACTAAAAACAGCTTTATGCTGTTCTAACATCCGATTTACTCTTATTTAATTATATGGCTTAAGTAACGTCATTAATCATCGAATCGGGTATCGTTACCGGCTAAATGCAATCGAATTTGCTTAATCGAATATGAAATTCGAGCCGGATTCCGTTTGTTTCCTACTATAAAATTAATCGTCATCGCGACCGATATCCGAATATGCGTTCTGGTTATCACAAATGTCGGATGGAAGGAGAGCTTATCGGAGATCGAAATTACAAGAGCATCCTGCATTCAAAATATAAAATTGCCGCGTCGAAGATTCGAAATTTTCCGACCTTACGTATTGACGCAATTATCGCTCTGATATCCTAAATGCGTCGGTCTTGAAAATGAAGATCTCAAATAATCACATCGAGTCGATTCAACTGTTCGGTTGGTCTCAAAATACTCAGCTACCTTTCGATCGATTTCTCGAGCGCTTTGTTCCTCAGGACGGCAGAATATCTAATTCGAGCACGCTCTGAGCGTTGGACGTCACTCGATCGTCGCTCTTGTGCACCAGAACGTCCTTGAAGTCTCTCAGCTTTTGCGGCTGTAGGGTCGCGTTGGGGTTCCTGGGAAGTGTGGCGATAGGGTTGGTATTACGATTCATGTAGGGCTTCTCGTAACGATTAATGCCGTTCTCCGACTCCGAGTTGTGTCGCCGCTTCACCGTCGCGATCTTCGCGTCGGATTGCTTCGGCGACGAGTCCTTGTCCTCGAAGCACGGCACCGTTTGCATCGACACCGTGTTCCGGCAGTCGTCGAAGAGAGATCTGGGATTGAGGGTGACCTCTCGAGCGGACCCGAAGTGCTTGAAGCCGACGCAAATCGGCGAGTTGTTCACGAAACTGGTGTCGACGGGAAGGCACGGTTCGGTGACCCGTTTCTCGATCTTGATCTCGGTGACGTTCTGCCGTATTAACAAATTCGGCGCCACTTCCGGCAACGGTTCCGGGGAGATCGGCGGCCATTTCAAATCGCGCGCCATGTCCCGCTCGATCGCCAGGAACTGCCGTCGAGATTTATCCACGTCGTGCCAACGGTAGCGCAGCTTGCTGAACACGAGGTACTCGACAAAGAGGTATTCGACCAGCAGCGCGATTACGAAATTCATCATGCCGTAGCCAACCAGGATGAAGCGGAAACCCAGATCGTTCGGCAGCACGAGCTCGAACCACTTGGCCAGCCATTCGAAGGGGCATATTGCGAGATAGATTGAGAAACAGCTAAGGAACACAAAGGAGGTGAGTAGGCCGTAATTGGTAAAGAGGGATTTTCTGTATGGCGGCCCTTTGGAGAACGCTACCGCCAGAATGATGTACTGCATGGAACTAACGATGAAGACCGTGTAATTCTCCAGGCAGCCCACGTCATCCTTATTTTCGGTCGCGTTAAACGGCTTGAACCAGGGCATCTGACGCAGGTGCCAGAGACTTGTGTACTGAAAGATCGCAACGATCGAAAGTTGAGTGATCAAGCTCAGTATCGGTGACGTGCTGATGAGGCTATTGAGCGGCGCCATTTTACCAGCGGACCCTCGTAAGCCTCGGTGCGGCCGAAGAAGAAAGCGAATATGGAAATGATGAAGAGATCGATGTACAGAAACTCGATGTCCGTCAAATTGGATTCAATGCTGTAGAGGAGCATCACCGAGATGAATTGCGTGAGCGAATAGCCGGCCATGTATTTGAATATACCGAAAGAAGTCACCAGTGCGGCGCGACCTTCGCGTATCACCGTCAGGACGCAGGAGATGTTGGTCTCACGACTGGTGAAGGGAGAGGCGACGGAAGATTCCGTGTCCGATAAGGATATCCCGGTGTGCGCCGCCTTCAAAGCCCCGCAATCGTTGGCGCCATCTCCCACCATGGCTGCAAGAAGGCAAATCTTTTGTCAGATCATTAAGACCTATCGTAAGACTTATTGTGAGTCGTCGAGGATGCGTCACATTTCCATACGGCATACTTTAATCACTCTCACTTACCAACGTAGTATCCTAAAGATTGCAGTTCTTGGACTAACTGCTGCTTCTGGTCGGGCGACATTCTTGCGAAAATCGCACCGCGGGTGACCACCTTAGGTATTAATTCTGGATAATACTGCTTCATCAATGCCCACGTCTTTCCCGTCAAAGCAAACACGTATTTGTTTTTGGAATATTGCACACTGCAATTATTAGAAAGTTCGATTATCCTTTTATTTTAATAGATTTCGTCACCGATAAAGATAACAGAGATACTCACTCGTCCGATAAATAATTGATATCGTTCTCCAACTTGGTATTGCCAAAGGAGCCACTCTCAACGGTTTCTAAGCTAACCACGCTATTCAGATCGGTCATCTCGGTTAGATCGGGTTGACCGTTTGGTGAAGTCGGTGATGGCTGACTATCGCTTTTCGTGAAGTAGATCAGCGGTTTCAACTGACTTTGCTGGGTCGTCGAGACGGCGATTACCGGCGTGCCGGGCTTCACGATGTCGCAATCCCTGGCTACTGAGAGAGCGGTTAATATATTGTCACCCGTCACCATCACCGTTTTGATGCAAGCGGTGTTCAGCTCGGCGATCACCGGCAACGTTTCGGGTTTCAGTCGGTTTTCCATAACTATAAGTGCCAAGAATGTTAAATCAGTTTCGGCGACTTCGCGATTTATGCGTTGCACCTTGGCGTACGGAAGACGGTTGAGGGATTTGTGCGCGAGAGCGATCACTCGATACCCTTCGGATGTATATTCCTGAAGAACGGCCGCGAAATCTGGAGGTACTACGGAAAGAGCGAGATATGTCATTTAATAAAGTCGACAATATAATAATTATAAAAATCAGATAAATAAATAAATATAAATATAATTTTAAAATTATATAATTTTATATATTCGTACGTAACGCAACAAGGTCATAAAGACTCACTGGATTCTGCTTTTGAAAGACTGAGGATCATCTCCGGACTACCCTTGCAATAGAGATCATAGTGATTGGCGCCCAACGTTCTGGTGATGACGCTCATCCTCTGGAGGCTCGACGTAAAGGGAAACTGTCGGACAATGCCTACTTCCAGCCCTTGCTCACCTAATTCCGTCGTGGAATCGCCGAATGCGGCATCATGAAGATTATTAAGAGATATACCATCCATTATGTCGGAAGACATGGAGTTTTGTCGACTGAGCGTACCGCTTAGATCGTTGGGCAGTCTCTTCAGAAGCTTCGAGTCTTTTGCCGGCCTGACGATCGTCGGGAACAGCATGGAGAACTTGGATGTATCGGACACGTCGGGTTCCTCCAGCGTCCATCCGGTGGATTCGAACATCTTCAAGTCAAGCGGATCTCCCACTAGTTGGTTGTCGATAATGGTGATCCCGTGACACGTGACCATGCCAATAAGGATCTCGGATAGCGGCAAGCTAGCAATGTCCTTGACTGGCAACTGGAATTTCCCTTCCGATACGCTCACCACTCCCCACATATCCAGACCGTCCTCGGTCAACGTTCCAGTCTTGTCGAAACAAATGCAATCGATGGATCCTGACACGTTAATCGTTCTTGGGCTCGTGCAGTATATCTTCTTTTTTTCTAATCTACGTTGTGCCACGAGACGTCCGACGGTCATGGCAGCCGGCAACGCGGGCGGCACCACGATGGTGAAGAGATCTAAAGCCTCTAGAGTGATGTGACTGCCGTGCACGCCTCTCATCATTTTCGTCACGATAGTGTAAATGACGCCGATGCTGGCTATGCACGCTAACATTATGACAAACTTGTATGAGTCCTGCTCAAACTTGAAATCCACGGGCGGGGGATACATGATGGACCGCACAAGGCCGCCTTTGCTGGTATTGAAACCCGTTCTAATGACCACTGCCAATACCTAACATAATTATTTACATTTAGAGAGAATCGAAAATAGATAAGGTGAAAGGCTCCTTCAAGAAGGAAGCTCAAATCAGAGTTTACCTTCTCACTGCCGTAGTATCTCGTCTGAATAACCCTGGTACCGCAGAAAAGCGTGTGCCTGGCGTGTTCTTTGGTATTATATATCACATCGTTGGAGGAAGGGACTGGCGTCTTCGTGACCGGTACGGATTCTCCCGTCAGCATGGACTCGTTGAGGATGCAATTGCCGGTTAGTAGCACGGCGTCGCACGGCATCAGGCATCCATGAGATGGAATGACCAAGACGTCGCCGGGCACCAGCGTTCGGCCGGCACGACCGCGGTTTGGCCGGTCGTGCGATCCCGCATAACCGTGGCGACGTCAGACGAATGCACCGTCGAACGCAAATTCTGTTGATTCTGAGAGAAACAGAATGATTTTGATTAACTTAATCAACGCGGTGACATGATCGTAGATCATAGCTGAAAGAAGATTCGAAAAGTGACTCACTCGTCGTGTCTGGAAGACTGCCATTATAATGCCGGCGCTTGACATCGCGAGAATGACCATGGCATAGTAATAATAGTCGTCCGCGATCCACAGACAAAAACTAAATAATTGGAAGACGTAGAATGGATTGAGCACTTCGAGGCAGAGCAATGTCAGTACTCTCTTCACGGGAATCACAATCTCGTTGTTGCCGTAAACGGTGCGCCTGTCGACATTGTAAACAGTCCAATAAATTAAAAGTAAATTGTTATACGAGATCGTTATGACGCACGATTCTCGTTAAGAGAAAACGTCAAAACTGGTTCGAGCTTCACCTCATGTACTGTTCCTGAGAACTGAGACCTTGTGCCTGATGTAACGTGGACATCAGAACGTCGGTGTCGAGGCCGCGCAGTTTCAGAAATTCCGATCTCTCCGGATCCCAAACGTAAGTCAGCTTCTTGCAATTGAAAATCGTTATGGATGGCACCTCTAAAAATAGTCCCCTCGTTAAAACCTTCGTCTTATATTTGAAATCGACGAGTCACAGGACACGCCGATGATTCACTTACGTTTGAATTGACCCCCGCAAAGATGTATGGATAACATCGGATAGGTTTCCTTCTCTTCCTTGGTGGTTATCACACTACCGTCCCATGCTTCATCAATCAGAGATTCTTCGTGGAAAGATTTGTTACTGCAAAAATAAATATGATAAACAATTATACGTTTTTAATTTTGTTGATATTTTTACAGGATCAATAATAATTAATAAATAGTTTTGTACTAAAAAAATTACTAACATAATTTCCTGAGCGGTCAAGATTCTCAGCTTCTTCACATGATAACTCGTGTGTTTTCCCTGAAATTTCTCAATCAGCAAAACGGTTTCCGCCTCTTCCAACGAGCATTTCGTATGGGTGGCTAGGAGCATGAGATACGGCACCCAGTGGAAGACCAGCCTCAGGAGGCCTCCGGTAATGACGATCAGGAACCAGATAATAATCGTCCACGCGTGGTTCCGCCTGTATCTGTAACGATAATGAGCGGAGATTGAGCGTATCTTGCGGGAGATTTCATCCCGCGATTACGTGACGCAGCGCGAGCGGCTTACCCGTAAATTTCCATCTGGTCCTCCTCGCCGGGATTGACGTAATCCACGCCATTTTTCAAATGTAAAATACCGTTGGCCCTGGTACCTGAAACGACGCCGATATGATTACAACGAGTAGCCATTTCTACGGTCGATTAGCCTAACGGACGTTTCGTTCGACGATCGCGAGCTCTATCCGATCGGCACTTTCTCCGCGAAGTTTTTCCGCAAGATTCCGTTTGCCGTCGACGTCGTTTGCTGCCGGTGGTAGGCATGTGCGGAACGCGGCACGTCTCTCTGACGAGAACAATGCCGCTGGTGCGGCCTTTATAGCTCGCGATCGCGTCAAATCACGAGGGGAATAAGAGAGAATGGAAATTGTGCGGTCATCGCGGA